TTTTTTTTTTTTTTTTTTTTTTTTTTTTTTTTTTTTTTTTTTTTTTTTTTTTTTTTTTTTTTTTTTTTTTTTTTTTTTTTTTTTTTTTTTTTTTTTTTTTTTTTTTTTTTTTTTTTTTTTTTTTTTTTTTTTTTTTTTTTTTTTTTTTTTTTTTTTTTTTTTTTTTTTTTTAGTGCTATATGGAAATTAACATTGTAAAAAGATGTTTTATTGTTAAAAATGTATTCTAAACTTCTCTGTACTATTTACTTGTCTGTGTTGGCTGGAGTTTTAAAACTGAAAGAAATAGGGTTCTCTAACTGAGATACTTTGTAAAAAAATATAGTTTTTATACATGCTGTTGCTATTCATAAATCATAACTAATAAGATGTTTACAATCTTAAATCATAATCTTTAGTTTCTTTTCAAGGCCATAAGCTTCATGTTGAAATTTTTATTGTTGTCAAAATGTGAATAGAGAAAATAAGGTTTTAATTATAATAATTCATTACTTGGTTTTAGTGTTCATCTTATTGAATTATGAAAAATAAATGGTGCTCTAATTTCTGTTCATGTCTCGGCTTGATTTTTTGTTATAATTGTGTCAGATATAAAAAGGGAAACACAGGATAGTATTCCATTTTAGATTTTCAAAAACAGGATTTGACTCAAAAACTCACATTAGTTTCAATAGTCTTTGGACCAGGCACAGGGTTAACAGCTTATTTTTCAAACAACTAAAAAGAGGTGTAAATGTCAAAGGTGATAGCTATACTGTGAGTTTCATAAACTACACAAAAAGTTACTACTAAAGCTCTATTTTTCCTTCGTTTAACAGCTTCTATGAAAACAGTGTTAATAAGTATATCAGGAACAGTATATAATAATGAATCAGAGACGTAAAAAAAAACCCTTTAAAACTCCTTTTATATAATAATTGGAAAGTTAAAAGTGACTTAAAATCCCTGACTTCTCATGCTGTGATGTAAATTGTATTTTTTTTTAGGTTCCAAATTCAAAGAGGGAAAACTGATCCAACCAGTTACAAGAGCCTGGGGGACTGTTTTAGGACTATTTTCCGACGAGAAGGGTAAGAGTATATGTTTTTAAAATTGTCAATTTTATGAGACTTTTCTTAATCACCCATTTTCCAGACATTAGATCCTCTTTATGTTCCACTCTTTCTTTTTTTTTTTTTCCAGTTGCCAGAATTTACAAACATGTAGTCTTACATAGTGAACACAATTTGAAAAGTCTTAATTAGCCTTAATTAGACTCACAATGTCAAATTTTGCTATTAAGGTATGTTAAAGATCAGAATGCACCGCTGTATAGACAGTGGTGCAAATAGTGCTGCAGCACCAGGAGCAGGATGGTCACATCAGTGTATTTATGTATCTAGGCTCTTCTGTCATCTTGTCCTGGTTTTCAGAACTAGCTCAGCCTGAGCTGTTACCAGATCAATGGAGCACTTGTTTCCAAGCTCTGATAAACTGGCATTCCCAGTTAGCTGTGTTAGACAATGTTTCCAGGATCTGGGTGAACAAAATTCCACAGCTTTTTAGTTTGACAGAATATGGAAAAAAGGTTTATGGTCATTAGTTACCTGAATTGTACTGCCTTCACAAGGTACCGCTGCTCTAAGCCTGAGATCCTCTAAAGGACTTGGGTTCTGATCCAGAAAGGCATTTAAATATAGGCTTAATTTTATGAGCAGTCCAGTTAAAGCCAGTGAATGTAATTGGATCAATCATATGCTTAAAGTTAAGCCTGTTATCCACAGGAGCTCTTTGGAAGCTAGCCTTTAATCAAGGTAACTCTAATTAGTAAATCCCATATTTGAGTAGCTGGAAGGCTTTCCATAAACTTTGTAAATACAATAGCAACCCAATTTTTATCCGTGTATCACAGAATTACAGAATCAATTAGGTTGGAAAAGACCTCAAGTCCAACCTACAGATCAACAAGTCCAACCTATATATTCATCAGGATGGAACTGTTCGTGTATACTGTGGCATAGAAACTGGGTATGGAGGCAGCATAGGTGCAAGTGAGGCATGGAATTCTTGTGTCCACAAGCTGTGCTGGAAAAACAAAGGTGAGGTAAGCAGTGAAAATTAATAACTAGACCAGTTTTATTTCTTGCAATGAGGCTTAGCTAAGCTGTATTACATAAGCACATACCTATAGAACTGGACGGTTTGAAATGACAAAGCAGGGAGATGGAGAGAACCTTTGTTGATGTTGAAAGAGGTAAGTGTCACATCTGCCCTTATTAGTGGTAAATTCATTTTTGTTGAAAGGTTAATGTTATTTATTATCACTATAAGGCATTAAAAAGCTTAAAAGCTAAAGAGCTTAAAAGCTAAAAAGATTTCACAAAAATGGTAATTTTTGGCTTCTGAGGTTTTCTAGACTGAGTATATGTTAATATTTGTTCCTTCTCGAAAATACTACATTATCATTATTCACAGTCATGTAAAACTATTTTTAAACATAGAACCAGTTTCAATATTTAAGTCAGTGATCATGAGAACAGTATTTATCTCATCCAAACTCATTTGTATTTTATTTTGTTGAACGACTCACAAAATGTAATATTAAGGTTGGGTAGACATATCTGGAGGATGAGTCTAAATCAAGAGACAGTTTCCAAGTAAATTTATTGATCATGTTTTTTTTTTCCTGTAGAATTCTTGTGCCCCGATACTGGACCAGAATATTTTTTTAATATTTGTATCAATTAGTGAATCTCTGAGCAGGAAAAAGCAGGTGATAACATGAAAATATTGTACATTTAAATCACTGTTTAGCAAAGGATTGCACAAAACTTCTGTGGGGCTAGAGCTAATACAGAGTTTTACTTGCCTATTTCAAAAGCAGTCAATACCGACATAAACAAAAAAGCAAATTTTATGAATAACAGTTTTTCTCCAGGAAGTTAGAGTCAGAAAGTCAGTTTTAAACAGTCATCAATAGTAAGCATTAGGAAAAAAGAAGATGAAAAATCTTAGAAAAAATATAATTTTAATTTCGGCTAAAAATAAGAAAAATCATCAACTAATCCTGAAAAACCTATTTGACTCCGTGAGTCTTGCATTCCCATTTATAGTTGTCTGGTTTTCTGGAGCATGGCAATTATGACAGTTGTGAAGGAAGTGGGAGGTGACTGAATTATTTTAGTTAGGGAAAACTTGAATCCTGATAACCCTTTCCTTCGGTGACCACAAAATTATGCAAATGAGAGCATCAAGAAAGGGCTTCACACTTAAATACTAAGCAAACAAAATCAATTTATGAGGGATTCAGATTCAGGTAAATCTTTGAGAAGGATATAAGAAATTCATCTATGTACCATGATTGTTTCATATTGGTAATATGACATACCCCATTGGTGTGTGACATTTTTAGACTCAGTTTTTTGAAATATCTAAATCAGTGTACACTGGCTATAAAGAGTTTAGGCATCTTTCTCCAGCACTCCAAATTCCTTTCTGGTATATGTGATTTTGTGTTAAATTGACAACCAAAAAAAACCCTAATTAAACAAAGGAACACAGTGGGAAAAGAAGTGTTGCTAATGGCCTACCTCTGAAAATTTTTATATTTGGAAATACTGCTTATACTCATTTGCACTTACATTTTTCAGTAGCAGCAACTACAGTAAGCAAGGATGTCAAAACCCGGTTCAAACAAGACCCATTTATAATGCCTTAATTTGTTGACCTTCTTATGTTGAGTTTAAGTATGCATCCTAGGAAGTGCTTATTTTTATGAACACATATGCAAATGTTTCATTTGCTGCAATGCTTCTTACTGAAAATCAATTATTAGTATGTTACTACAGTATCACAGCAGCAATCTGATGATTTTATGGAGAGCTTCTTCATCACAAATAATGTCCAGAATTCTTTAACCATTCTTCTGATTTTCTTCTCATAATAATGAAAAGAACAGAGCAAATATTTCCCATCTAACCACTAATAGAATACTGTCCATTTCAAAGCATGAGAAGACTCCTTCATCTATACAAAACACTAGAAATCTTCTAACCAAAAAAAAGCCACAGGGAAAAAAAAACCTAAAAAAGCTCCCTTCTCCCAAACCTTGACCAGCTCTTTAGATGGAATAAATTTTCTTCATGGGAAATTAAATTCTTCAAAGAATCTATCCCTTGAACTCTTTTCTTGTCTTGCAAGAAAATAGGAGCCACAAAACATAAAATTTAATTGAAACTCACTAAACGAAGGCTAAGTCAAGCAGAGCATTAAAGGTCACACAGTTTGCTATTAAAGGGAGGCAGGAGTATTAACTTCAGGGCTTTTGCAAACTTGTTTTTGGAGTGTCCAGTTGCTGCTAATTGCACAGGGGCTGCAGCAGTGTGGATCCTTGCAGGTGATGAGCAGCCTCTGCTCAGCTGGATTTGCTAGGAGCCGTGCAGCCGAGGTGCTCCGATTTCACTTATGAGATGACGCATGAATTGACAGATCTTTGACAGTGAGATAAACCCACCAGGAGCATATCTGTTTATTGAGGAGTGACAGCTTTATAGCCAACATAAAAATAATCTGATGTTTATTGGAGAATCCTGTTTGGATACAGGATTAACTGAAACCATTAATAGAGAAAACTTTTCATTTGTTTTAGATCCTACCAGTAAGAGGTTAGGTTGTGTTAAACAACCAATTTTTATATAATCGTGATCTTTGCTCCTCTTGTATTCACTTGCTTTTTCTTTCCTAGTCACTTAGGTTGGAATATGAAATGTAAGAATAAACCAATGTTCTAGCTGAATGTATATATTGCATTTATATTAAAGACACATGGTGTTGTGTCTCATATTAAAAATAAAAAATTATGCCCATCTACACTTTCTTAATTTGAAGTTACAGCATTAAAATGATGGATGCTATTATTTCAAGTCTGTAAACAACTTTGTTCTTATAAATTTGGTTTTTCATGGGCTCATAATTTTAACAGTAAATGTTCTGGCTTATAGTTGGCTTTTTTGGTAGGCACTTGGTCAAGAAACCTGTTATTTTCTTGTTCATTTGTTAACTTGCCTGGAATAGAGGGGGTAGTAGTGTCCTGTATTCCAGTTTTATAGTTCAGTGTTTGAATAAGTTACAGTTTAAAATGCTTCTTAGCCTTTCTTAGAAATGGATGGTTCTGGGAAATTGCAAGACACAATTGTTGTTGATCATTTGAGACTTCATTACTTCTGCTGAGTTATTTGATTGTTTAATTTGGTTTGGGAAGGAGCAATTACCTCCACATTTACACAGCCCAATGGCTTTATAACTATTTCTTGTTTTCGGCACCACCTTACCACTCTCTTGTACCTATAATTGTCTGTATGACCACACACACCTTTTTTTTTTCTTTTTTAATAAGCAGCACCCTGACTCATACATTAGTAGGATTAGGTTATAAAGCTGCACAAAACTTGTCTGTATGGGTGGGGTAGGTGGGAGAACAGCCAAGACTAAATAGGAGCTGGATAAGTGCAGAGTCATCAGCAAACACGCAGAAGCTGGAGGGCTCCTGGTTTATGTGATATTAGCTAACGTTTATCAATTAAGGAATTTGCTAGCACTCTCCTTTGTCCTGCCTCTATTCATGGACTCTCTGTCATGGTAATAAGTGCTTAAGAGACTTCAGCAGTGCTCTTGAGGCCTGGTTCTCCCAGCTGGCTGCAGATAATACTCTGCTGCTTCTAACTGCCAGCAGGTCAGGGAAGGAGACTGGCAGTCTTGCAGGCAAGCACTGGCCTCTGGCACTCACCAGCATCATCACTGCCCATTCCTGGGGCCCAGCTGGATGTGTGCTCTTCCAGCTGAGATGAGGAGACCTATCATAAGGCTGCCAAATAAGAGTTACACAAGATACAAATACTTGGCTACACTGCGCCCGAAGCCTTCAATAAAATTGCCAACCAGGGAAGTGTGACATGGTCAGTCATACCAGAAATTCCTTTTCCCAGTGAGCATTTATGGAGATTCATTTCCGCTTACTAGAGCTTTCATGTGGTATCAACGGATCAGACTTTAGGCTCTGCTTTCAGTGCTCTCAGGCAAGAAGTTGTAGATT